CCGGGCCCGAGGGTATTAAAGCCCGACCCGGCCCGAGCCCGATCACTTAGCTTGATTTGCAGGCCCGAGCCCGAAGCAAACCCGACATTTCATATTTTATTTGTGAGTATTTTTGGTAGACATTCACATAAACACGCCCCCTACTGTATGCCTGCTGCCCGGGTGAGAAGCATGGTCCTAGTGTCCGCCACAATTATTTATTAAAAAAAAAAAGTCAGCGAGAGAGAAGCCCAACCCGACCCGAACCCGAACCAATGATTGACATTTTAGGGCCCGACCCGACCCGGTCGGGGTCGGGCTCGGGCGGCCCGATCTTACCTCTAACCCGCAGCGGCTCCTCTCTCTCCTGAGGAAAGAAATTTCATCTGTGCTCTATGTTGCACATGTAACACATTTGACAATAAAGTTGACTTTAACTTGAACTTGTGTACAAAAACACAAAAATGTCATTTTTTCCACTATGCATTATTTATTTGTTTGTTTGTGCAAGATCAATAGTTTTTATACAGTATCGTGAGCTTATTTTTACTTTTTTTAGATATCGACGACTTTCTCACAAGATCGTGATAATTATCATATCATTAGTGTCGCGTGAGGAGCGGAAATTTGGACCCAGAAGCAGACATGAGACTGAACTTCATCTACAAAAATACAAAGTAACTGCAAAGAGCTGGACGCATGTGGCACATAACTTAACTGTATTTATAGAGCACTTTCAAACAGCCAACGCTGCACACCAAAGTGCTGTACATGGAGCAACTAACATATACTGTACAACATAAGGGCGCTGACACTGTACCGGTAGAAAGCGTGACGTATTGACAACTTGTCACTGAGTAATCGGAGTTTACAGTATATACTGTGAGACATGAAGCCTATATGACCAAATAAAGTTCCAAAGCATTAAAGAGCCATTGCAACTGAAACGTTGAAGAACACGTGATAATATCGCATTGCGACATCCGCATATCGTTCCATCCCGAATTTATTGAATGTCTAATTTAAGTTGTGCTGGGGCTGGGCAGTAATTTAATTTCAACATGTATGGCGATAGACACGTGATTGATATCAATTGAAAATGCCTTCGATAAAATGTTTAATCATCAGGAATCAGAAAGCAAACCCCGACCGAGGCTTTGTGTATGTTGTAGTCAGCTGCAGCCAACTCCAAACACGAAGAAGCAGTTTAACCAACGAAGAAGAATCCGCTATACCAAAGAAGTGGAAGCATCCAATCCAATGAAGCAAAAGCAACAAAACCAACAACCAAGAAGTTTGTGCGTGCGTGCAGCATTCTCATGAAAACGAGAGGGTGGCGTCCCTTCATTTAAATAAATGACTCATAAGATTATATTGTTCATACTAACCCGATTAAACACCTACGGATGGAGACATGGTGTACAAATACAGGCGTTCCCTGTCTTTGACATGCTCGCACCAGTGTTCGCCATGTCCCGACCCTCGGCATGGCACTCAAATCAAAATCAGGCAGGTGAACTATTAATGGACCCTTCATGGCAGTAACGAGTCCGCGAAAAAGATAAAGTACAGTGGTACCTCTACTTACGAATGTCTCTTCATACAAAATTTTCAAGTTACAAAACGTCTAAACAGGAACATATTGCCTCTTGTTACGCAAGAAATTTCAAGATACGAAAGGTAAAAATACAGTATGGGCTGCTCCTCGAAGCTCAGAGTTTCCTGAACGCAACATACTTATAGCTGCATTGGTTATTACCGAGCATCATCCTGGCATCCCATTGGCTAAGAGGGATTTCTACCATATGTGTCTATGTGAAGATAGATAGATATGTGTCTATGCAGCATCCTCGTCATTTGCCCCTCGGGCCCTGAGGTGTAGTTTTACGTAAATGTGAATCACCCAGAAAAAATGTTCACCAGTTGGCCGATATGCTGGAGTTTGCATTGGACATTTTTGAAGGATTGTTAAAAGCCGACAAAAGCAAACATCCTTGGATCAGTTCTTCACAAAACGCTAGGCAAAAACCACTTCTGAGAGAGAACATGGACTAAAGAATGCAAAAAACGATGAGGATGCAGTTGAAAGTTAAATGACCATCATTTTTATTCTTGACTGTATTCTTTGTTGTTAAAATTATGCACAACTCTCATTTATTATGCAATAATCTCATTGTAACATGTATTGTTACATATTTTAATGCATTTTTTTGCTTTAAAAAAACATTTATGTCTGAATTTTGGGGCGCTTGGAACGGATTAGGGCATTTACATGGAAAACGTGTTACTACTTACAAAATGTTCTCGTTAAGAAATTTCTTCCAGAACCAATTAATTTCGAAGTAGAGGTACCACTGTAGTCCTAAAACAATTGGTCATCGCTTATGCATGCTCTGCAAGAGTTTTAGTTCATTACACTTACATTGAATGAAGGTTAATATAGCTCTTAACGATACTGCTTTGGGATGATATCTAACACAAATACGCATTGACAATACCCTGATGAAGGAAAAACTGCACATTACGCTACATTTCAATGTACACAAAAAACAGTTCGTTTTTTTATCAATATTTTAAATGTTAAAAAAATCAATAATTGTCAACGTTGACTGATATGAAATACTTTTTAAAAACATTTTTCAGCCATATCGTCCATCCCCACTCAGCACATTATGTTTAAAAAGGCATTTAGTCGTTATATTGACCGGCTTATCTAACTTTTTGAAAGTTGCGCTGATTTCTTATGAAAGATTATGTTACACATGTCAAAATAAAATGACCTAAACTCACATTTTTCTCCTGGTCATTATTTCCAATAGTGAAAATAAATAAATAAATAAATTATATATATCGACAAATATGAAATATTATCGAGATATACTTTTCAGTCATATCATCCAGCTTTACCTTGTAGTTTCATATTTCATAGAAATAAATCATGATGGCAATGTGAAGAATGCTGAAATCTTACAACAGACAAAATGCTGAGAATGATTGTGTGTGTGTGCTTAGTGAACTTGACCTTTCAAGCCCCCAGTGAACTCTACAATTACTGCAGTGAAAGCATATGGAAAGCAGCTTAGGAAAACAATTTCACAGAACGAGAATAAGTTCTGAAATGGAACCAGGCAAAAGGAAAAAAAACATTCTTCTATGATTTATGTAAATTAGTGATAGTGTAGCTTTGGTCTTATAAATAGATCAGCTGCAACAATCTCAATTAGGGGTCGGCAACCTTTTTGAAAGTGAGAGCTACTTCTTGGGAACTGATTAATGCAAAGGCCCACCATTTTGATACACTTGATGTGACTTCTGAAATAACACATTTTCATTTGGCAAAATGTCATCCATAATTAATAATGTTTATAATTTCTCACAATCATTAGGAACAGGCAGATAACAACAGGCAACAATTTATTTTTATGAATCTCTGCCAGTGTTCACATTTTTTAGGTTTCATTTTTTTCCCAATGCATTTCAATGGGTGTCAATGATGAAGTGGCTAGAGTTGCCTCCCATTCAAAAAAAATTTTCAAATTGATTTATTGATAATCAAAACACCAGTTGTTCATATTTGACTGCGGAAACCATCCATTCTCTATTTTGCTATTAAATGAAATGACAGCAACAATCTAGGCCAATTCTCTGCTTACATTTGTCCTGTTAGCTGGGGAGGAAAACTCTAAGGAGCAGCTTGAACGTTATTAAATCCACAAAGCTTCAGGGCAATTCCATCAAACAAGAGAAACAGGTTATGTACCTGTGCAGTGCCACAGTCAAGGTTCTTCTTCTCAGCAGTTTAGCAATGTGGACTATTGTGGTCAACTTTTCAACAAGGAATCAGATTAAACTCAACGTTCTACAGAGCAGAGGCTGCCTGGATGCATCCAAAATTTAACCAACAACAGCTGTGAACTCTTGCAAAGCGTAATCCATACAACATCTCTGTTTGCAGGATATGGAAAGGTAATTAAGGTCACATTGGGGGGGGGAAGGAAACCCTGATTTATAGCCTCAGTTGTTTTGGGGGAGAAATGCCGTAAAGAAGAGGGTGCCATGGGAGGCCCAGGGGTTTGTAAGGAAAAATTTGGGGCTTAACTGCGATGCCATCAATTGCTGATGCTGACCCACATTTCCATCTGTACCCTGCTGGTCCTCATAACCGCTCAACACTCAGCTATTAAAGGGGTTCCAGCTCTGCTGGTGTGACAACCATATTGATTGGTATTGTATCTGTTTAACATGTTTTCATTCAAAATCAATGCCAGTCACACGCCATATCTCTAGCCGAGCAAGGGATTGGGTTTCTGAAAAAAATTGTGATGACAATATGTGAGCGTTTCATAAAGTTAGTTTCAACTAACAGACCACAACCTCTATATTGCTGGTATATCAACGAATGTCTTGTAAATGTCTCACTAAATTCAAATTTGGGACAACAATGTGTCTTTCATTTACAGAGAGACAGGAGTGCAGTCTTTACCACGAGGTGGGCTACGACAGCATTTAATCAACGACAGGAGTCAAAGTAAACCATTTGTACCGTTTATGTGACCAAAAAGTAGTTTTCTTTATTGGGGGGCGGGGGGGGGGCGTATTTAACACAAGTGGTCAAATACGCTTCTTAGTCGTGTGGAATATTGTGTGACAACAACTCGGAGTTTTGCATACAACATACAGAATTCAATCCAGTTAAAATGGCGAAAGAAGTGTTCTGAAGAGTAACCGAGATGATAGGATAGACAGCGCTCAATGAGTAGACGCCACTGGAGTCTGTTCGTTTTGTCTACACGCGCCACATCACCATTCGTAAAGAATACGCCATAAAGCAAAACAAAGCCAGATTAGTGTAAGAAAGGTTCAGTTTCACGCGCTGAGCAGATGAATAACCTATACAAACTGACCGTGTACCCATCGTGTTTCTGGTCATTATTCACGCGTTATAAGAATAACAAAAAAAGAAAAGGCAGGTTCCTTGTTCAAGACCCACACAAAGTCAGAGAAGAGCGTTGATCACTTACTGATTTGGAAGAAGTGCAGAGAAAAGTTGTAGCAGTTGAATGTGTGTAGCTGAGAGCTCTGTGCGGCTCCTGTCTGCTCTAAGCGGGCTTCTGACCGTAGTGTATAACCACAACCGACGCCGACAACAATTTAGCTGCTGTCGGGGAGGCTCAAGGTGGGTGGACAGTAAGGGCATCTCCTACGTTCCCCCCCATGTGGCAGATAAAGGAATTAGCATGTCGAACACCCTCCTTTAACTCCTAAATCCCCGCAACGCCACCACGGCACCCAAGGATACGTTTATCAGCACAAAAACGCACACAGTATCTACACTTAAATGGACATTCTCTGCTTTCTCTTCATCAGGAAAATGAAAATGTAATTAGTTCAGATGGTTTTTTAACACTATTCACAGTATCACAGTGAGTATGTATTCATTCATTCATTCCCTTGACTCGAATCACTATACAGTATGGCAAAGGTGTCAAAGTCAAGGCCCGGGGGACCGATCCGGCCAGCTACGTCACTTTATCTGGCCCACTAAAGCAGATCATGTGTGTCATCTGTACTTAATGTCAAATTATCATGTGTGTAACACCGACAGTTTGCAATAATTTTGTTACGCTGTTGACACCCACTTGAACAATAATTGAGCAACAAACAAACAGTTGAGTGATTTAAAAATTACTAATCTATCAATTTGTTATGTATAAATAATAATATGATGATATGATTATGTAAACATTCATTCAACTTCACTGTCTTAACGGCCCTCCGAGAGAAGATGTAACTCCAGTGTGGCCCATGGCAAAAATGAATTTGACATCTTACTGTCTTAACGGCCCTCCGAGAGAAGATGTAACTCTCTGCAGTATGGGATTAGTAGACTGTAGTACACACATGCACAAATCTCTATCTATCTATCTATCTATCTATCTATCTATCTATCTATCTATCTATCTATATCTATCTATCTATCTATCTAGCTAGCTAGCTAGCTAGCTAGCTAGCTAGCTAGCTTTGCATTCACAAATAGCTAGCTACCTAGCTAGCTATTTGTGAATGAGTGCCTTATTTGTATCAAATTCGTAAAATACCTTCAGTTTAATGTGACTGTTTAATGGGACCCACCTCTCCGAAGGAGTCTCCCTGCAGCGTTTTCATTTTGTTTAATGAATTTTATACCATTGTAACGAATATTGTACAGTACAATATTGTGTCAAATGTTCTCCACTCTGCATCCATTGGAGCATGGTCATCCTGGAATGGAAAGCGGATCGGAAAACGGATGGATAAGCTTCATCAAACCTTTTCAATGGAGCATGTCCCATTACGAGACACAGTGAACGCCACACGAGCAAGGAAAAGTCCCTCTATGAAAGAGACCTCAAACAGACCTAAGACGTGATGTGGAGCGGTATATCAGCCTTGGTTGGGTTGGGAGAGTGTGGCGATCAGAGAAGGATGCCATAACTGCCAACCCAACGTCCCACATCCATCACATTACCGGAATAAGACCGCAAATGTTTGACACCTGTCGCGTTAATACAAGTAAAATGGATAAAATGTCTGTCCAACTGTCCATCTAGCGTGCGACGCTCAGAACAGTAAGTTACTCAAGTAGACGAGCTGATTATAAATCAACCCTGACCATCAGCTTTATCAAAAAGGAATTATTTAAGTTTGCTCTTAAATATCAAGAGACTGTCTGTCTCCAGGACCAGACCTGGAAGATGGTACTACCTCCCGTACTATTTTTCAGATTCGGAGAACCATAAGTACAGTCACTGTTAATTTTGGGAACATCGTGCTCTGATAGGTTGCTAAGGCATCACAAGCAATTTAAGGTATGATAGTGCCTTCTCGTTTGGTTCTTTGTAGCAGAAAAAAAGGACTTTACTTTAAATTCAGTTCTAAATCTTAGAAGAAGGCATTACAGTGAAGCTAGCACTGGGGGAATATTATGTATTATTATCATTATTATTGTTAGTGTTATTGTTAGGCACGCTGGCAACTTGCTGGAGTAGCCTGCGAAGAGAAAGTTTCAATAATCCACCCCAGTGGTCATAAAAACATTTAATAACTTTTCAGCATAGTAGAAATAAAGTAAAAAAATCCTGACCATAGGTGAATTTCTTTGTTGAATGAGGATAAAGATAAGATAAAAGATCAAATTCTTCATTTTCACTGCAAAGATTGTCAAACAGCATTCATCACTTAAAATTAATAAGATAGAAAGACTTTCCCTTTACTGCTAAAATTGTATTAAAATGGACATTAGAATGAAAAATAAACATTCGTGAATCCCCCAACAAAAAGAATACTTTTTTCCGTCAATCCTATTCTGTTGCTCACTGTCCTACTTGAGCGGCTCACACCATTCAATATTGACTGACCTGTTTGCAAAGGGGCGGGCAGTGGTAGTCGTAGTGGTGAGGTCAGAGTTGGTCTGAACGCAACAATAGGCCCCCTCACACCACATACAGTCAGTGGTGGAGAGAACGTGAGCCACAGTCACATTCTAAATGGTGTAATTCTGTAGCTTTCAATGTCACAAAGTTGAGATCACAGAGCAACACTCAATGTCTCATTGTCTAGGATCGTAACTGCACATGTTAGGCAACAAACAAAGCAAGTAACAGTTTCTCAGCCATGGCCCCTGCTTCACACAAGTTGTCTAACAGATAAATGATGCTCAGGATTAATGACTGAATGACCAGAGCTGGTAAGATGAAGGCTGAACTCAATGACCTCAGTGAGTGAACAGTTGACGGGCAGCTCGTGGTCGACTGGGGAGCACGTTCCTCTTACAGTGCAGAGGTGCAGGGTTTGATTCTGGCTGCGGCCTTCCTGTGTGGAGTTTGCATATCCTCCTCGTTGCCTGTGTGAGTTTTCGCCGGGTACTTCGGTTACCTCCCACATTCCAAAAACATGTGTGGTAGGTTAATGGAACAGTCGAAATTGTCCCGAGTTGTGAGTGTGAATGCGGATGGTGGTTCGTCTATGCGTACCATGCGATTGGCTGGCAACCAGTTCAGGGTGTCCCCCGCCTATTGCCCGAAGACAGCTGGGATAGGCTTCAGCATCCCTGCCACCCTTGTGAGGATAAGCGGATCGGAAAATGGATGGATGGATACTCATAAGGAGTGGGAAAAAAAGCATATATATATATATTTTTTTTATCCCATTCACCTGTTCCAACAATACAATTTCCTGACTGGATTAAATTTACGGTTTCAAATAATACCTAAACTCAAATAGGAAAACAAAACAAACAAAACAAACAAGGTAACAGTCCAATAAAACATAATAAGTCTACTCCATTAGCATCTGCACTGTTCATTCTTTTCAGAATTAATAAGGACATTTTCTTTGTATCTTTTCTTAAACGGATTCATGCTTAAACATTGTTTCAAGACTGAATTTAAGTTATTGTGTTGTCTTAAAGAAATGTTGCAAGTAGGCCTGTTCCAAACAAATGTTTTTGGAATCAGTTATCCTTTCGAATATTCCATCGATAACTCTGGGACTCCCATTACAAGTGCCATCAATGGCTGCTGCGCTGGATGTGAGGCCTTATTTCACAAAGGATCCAGCAGTGACGCTTGCCTGCTACTTATTTATCTATCTTACACATTTCTCACAATAATCACTCACATTACACTCAAACACGACGACCACTTAAATATTGAGATGTGCTCTGGAACATGCTATGCTAAGCTAAGTTCGCTAGAGAAGTATTAACTAGCTTGGCCAAAGGTCCTCTTTTGCTCAGACATTTTCACTTTTCTTACCCAGTGTCTGGGGCATCCAGGAGGGTTTTATAAATTTATGAAAATGTCCAGCTTTAATTGGTTGTCACGCGACCAATTAGCATGTGTTTAATTTGACTGACATTTTGCGCAAAAAAAAAAAAAAAACAATTATGAGGAAGAAAACTAAAGACTGCGGTAATTTTCTTTTCTTTGTTAAATTACTTTGTAAAATCCTTGCAAGACTACTGTTTTATTATTTACATTATTACACTGAAAAGACGGTAAGAAATAATTTGTTAAAGCTGGATTTTCTGGAGAAGAGATACCTGTTATTAAGAACATTGTCATATTTAAGTTAGACTTCAAAACATAGCTCCTATTATGTTTTTTTTTTCTCATCAGAGGAGGCATAATTTAAATTAGGGCTGAAAAATATATGCTAAGGTTATTGGGGCACATAACAGTGAAGCCAAAGAGGTTGAAAGGCATGAATATTGTTCCATAAGAGTCCACACCCCTCTCCTGGGGTTCTAATCTATACCATTCAACTAATTAGGATAAATTTGCCACCCATTAGTAATGTGGGAATTTATGTAGAGCGAGTCCACCAAACTATTTCAAAAACTGTCTTTCACACCCTAGGGACAGTTGCAAGATTTTGGAAGGAAAACTGGAACAGTTAAGAATAAATACAACATTTTAGGAAGAACAACCATCCTTCTGTCCTTAGTTTACTCTGAAGACTTGCGCAGAATGGAATCAGCCAGGGGATGGGGTTTGGGTGGTAGCTGCTGATAGCAAGCTGTCCACACACCTCTGAATGAACATCAGTCATGCTGGAACGGTACTTGTACTTCATGTTTTTATGAATGGCTCAAAAATGCTGTTGCACATTCCCAATTTAATAAGAGGGCCCCGCGCCTCACACCGATGTTCGAGTGGACCACTTCTCTGTCTAAAGCAGGGGTGCCCAAACTTTTTTGACCTAAAATCAACTTTTCGTTCAACCAACCTCCCGCGATCGGCTTCTTACCGCGCATACGCACGCTCGTACACACAAATGCCATGATGAGCAACAGCCATAACGGCCCCGAAGATGAACCAAACAGAAAAATAAAGTAGACAAAAGAGTTGATAACTTTGTGAAAATAATTTCCTGCCGACCTTAGTGGGAGACCTGACGCGGATGCATGCGACGCACTTTTGCAGCCTGTTTACTATCGCAGCTCACGTGTACCGTTTTGAAATGCTTCTCTTTGCGCTCCAGATTCCCATTCTTTGCCAGTGCCATCGGTGAAATGCAGATGAAACAAACTCTGAATGAGAATAATAAAAGATATAGCGTAACAGCTCTGACCACAAGCTGCAATTGCAGACTGCTGAGCGCTTCAGGTGACACAGGTCACGCACCACCATAGGTTTAAGGTGACCTGCTTTATTTATTTTTAAATA